AGGGTCTGGCTGTTGGGAGACACCAGCCTGGAGGTGGCACCGTACTGAATGCAAAACACCACTCTAGACTTCCTTTCTACGGAACAGTTAGGATCTCAGACTGAGACTGGAGCCGTTGACTGGGAAGTTGACCAGAGAAAAATTATTTCAATTATTTTTCCCTCTGATTGTCTTTTCTCCTCTCCTTTGCCTTTCTCTTCCTTGAACAGTGAAGCCTGTATCTTCAATTAGTTTGAAAAGTCTCTAACTTTTAGTCTCCCAACAGGATCAGACCTGCTAAGAGTAACTAGTGTTTTCTATCTGATAAATAAGGGGATTACAGCAATAACTGCTGTCAGCATTTTTCTCATTTAAACAAATAAAGCTGACAAATGATGAAGTTCTGTGCAGCTCTGTTATGTTTAGAACATGCAGAGCAATTATTCATCTGGTGCCAACATTAGTCTATCTACATCTAAACCACCCAACAGCGCAGAGAGCTTATTAGCATATCAGCACCATAGTCATATTTTTGTATTCTGGGGGACTCTACTCCAGAACAAAGGCTGATGGTTATAATTTGCCCAATAATTTACAGGGTTGGATTTTTCCATGCTTATTGGAGTTGCACAAGTTATCGGGCACAAGGCTTCTCTTATTTATGAGATGCCACCTTCCATTTGCCTGGAACTGTCGATCGCCTGTAGCATTTCCCTGAGCAGGCTAGCTGCGTCTCCGGTGATGCAGACTTCGAGAGCCGTGTCTGTGTGCAGCACTTCCATGAGGGGAGCTGGGGTGGGGAGGAGCGTCCTTGCATGTCCCTCATATGTGGAAAGAAATGCTGGAACTTCAAAAAGCTTGTGAAAAAATGGAACTCAAGTGTTTATGTTGGTGCAAAAAAGTTCAGAAATCCACACATAGGGCATATTTTCATAGTACATATTTTCCATGAACATGTTGAGGACTTTTTGCATGTACCTAGCCACATGTGCATTTACCTATGTACTGTATGTGTGTGTACGTGTGTATGTGTGTCTGTATACATATGACTGTTGTGTGTGTGTTTCACCGAAAAAGTGAATACTTGAGAAAGATGTACTATTTCTTAAAAATGCATTGTCTTACTCAATAGTTATTTCTAGTTGTGGTGGGCAAAGGTGTTGTAGAGACAAGGCATTCACGATTGTGCAAGAGGGGCTGGTTGGACAGCACCGTAGACCTTGTGATAGCAGAAGGTCAACTCCAGAGAGAGCGTGCGTTCTGTGGGATGCTCTAAGGAGCCCCCGTCCCATCAATGCCACTGCAGAGAACATACACTGGCTTTGGGAGCAGTGGGTTTATACTCACTTTCCTGATCCTCTGGGAAGCCTGAGCAAATGATGAGTAATGGAGCCTCCTCATGTGCAGTCGCGACTGCAGTATTCCTGACACAGCAGTCATAGGACCGAGGGCTGACACCGCCTGACAAGCCTGGGGTAGGATCAGTCAGATCCCTCACAGGGGACCTGGTCAGCTGCCAAGCTTTCCAATGCTCAGTGTGGAACTCTCTGCCCACCTATCAGAACCACAGACGTATCTTGCTGGGGTCTCTCAGCCCCTCTAGGGGCTGCCCTGCCCAGGGCCAACTAATTCTTAGAGCAAACAGTTTTCCTGTGAGTTTCCTTTTCTTATGCAAACCGACCAGTCTAGGGCCCTCACCCCTCACAGCAGCCTTCCTATGTCCAGCCACTGTTCTGGTCACCCCTGTGCCCACTGGCGTCACTCCAGTGCTGGTCCTGGGCCTGCCCACCTGCCTTTCCTGTTCCCTACCACCAAAACCACAGTGGAAAGGTTCCTGCTCACATATACTGGCCCCTTCTGCCTCCTGCCTGCCCTGCCCACCTTGCTGTGCCTCCTGCTTCGAGTGTATAAACCCTTTTCCCCATGACAGCCACTTTTGTGTCTGCATTTCCTACCACACTTGATGAAATAAGGTCCGGATACCTTAAAGTACTATGATATCAAGTTTAAATCATGACTTTTGAGGTTCAGATATGGACCATCCCCGCTTTATAAGATGATAATGCTGGGGCATTTTGAGATACTGTCTGTCTTCATTCCCAGCCTAGAGGAAATGGACATCTTAGATATTCCTATCAGGCGGAGAACACGAAAAAGCAGAAGTAGTCCTCGTTTGCTTGAACGCATCCCTGACCTTCCGAGCTTTTCAAATGCTGCCTGGGAGAGACCTGGCATCCCAGAAGCTAATGTGTGGTCCCAGTCTGTCACCCTGTCCTGCAAAGGGAGCACTCTGCAGAGAGAATTACCCACCATCCGGACATGTCTCTTACCCACCCCCAACCCCATACTACCCAGGCGTGTTGCTTACCCCCCCT